CTTTTGTTCCAATAAATCTTATTGCAATTTAGTAATCAAGTCATGCAAATTTCTCCTTTGAAATTGAGTGATCTAAACTACCTTGGTGACCAACCCCTTTCATTTAGAAATTTTCTAAAAATCCAAATTATCTTAAAATCAAGAAAAACTTGTGCCTTTCAAAGCTTAACTTACAAAGCTCAATGCTTCCAAAATTTCAATTGAATCCAATTATAAGGCACTGAGAAATGCCTTCTCAAACTTGATTAATCCAAACTATGAAGGCAATCAACTGCCTCGCACTCAAAATTTTACCAAAAATTCAATTCAACTTTAAATTAAGTGAGCCTTATTTTTTTGAAAAGCTAACAAAAAAAGATACAATCACAAAGAATTTCAAATTAAAACTAAAAACATTGAATGACTGATTGAGGGAAACCGAAGGCTCTTAAAACCCTTGGAATACTTGGGAGGCCAAAGAAGCTATCTACTACAATGAAGCATGTTTTAAAATCCAATGGCTATCATTCACAACTAAAAATCCATGCACACCCACCTACAAAGTTTACAATGAGATTTAAAAATCTAAATGAAATTAAGATTAGGATTTTTGGCCAAATTTTGGCATGGCTTTGCCGTTCACCAAAAGAGGAGAGTGAGAGGGCTTGGAAAACCAAGCCCCTCTTATACAATTGAGTAGAGGCTTGTGGAAAGGTGGTTGCATCTCCACCCTTGAATTCTTAGATCCCTAATCTAGATCTATGGCCTTCATTCATCCAAAAGCTAATTTTGTTATCAAAGCTGATGGCTATTGTAAGTGGTCAAAAAGGCAATTTTTGGTAAATCTAACTTCACCATTGTGTTCAAAACACTTTTTTATGCTAATATTGATTACTCACATGCCTCCATCTATATTTATTTGTAATTTTTATGAAAGTTTTTATTTCTAAAGATTTTAGTAATTATTGTAAAATCCTTCAAAAATAAAAATTTCATTGCTCCACTTGTATGTTGGAGGAGAAGGTGCTGATCTTATTTTCATCACTCTATGGAGTGAATCCAATGCTGCCATTGCATTTGAAAGCCTCCATTAATTGAAAAAAAACTACTTTGCTGCTTAGATTTGTTGAAGTTGAAGAAAAAGCTTCAAAACCATCATTGCTAAACTTCACGAAATCTTTTATAAAGTTCTAATTCTAATTTACTCTAAATCATATGAGATGATTGTAGGTGAATTCATAGACTCTCAATCAATCCTTATAGTAATGACTAATGATCTCTAAATTATTAAAACTAACTAAGTTGCTATTGTAATTTTTTAGTTCTTATCGCTTTAGTCCTAATTAATTTAATTCAAAGAATTAGGCTATAATTTATACCATCAAAGATTATAATCCTAAAAATTCTATAAAACTAAATTCTACTTATATAAATCATAAACTAACATGTTCAATTATCATAAAATAAAAAAATAACAAAAATTTAAATTTTAGAGAATAATAGCCCACACTTCTCTTTAAGTCTTATAAGTTTGATTTGAAGATCTTTCATCCCATGTATAATCTCTCCAAGTTCTATATCTTTTTTTTTTTGAGGTAGTCCTTGGAGGTTGAACAAAAGGCATTGTCAATTGTGAAGTAAATATTTGAGTTTTAGATATTTTTTGAATTCTTTAAATTCTAATCCTATCTTTTTTTTTTTTTTTTTTTTTTTTTTTTTTTTGTAAGTAATCCCACAATATCTTCAACTTCTTTCTATTTTATTGTTAACCCTTCATCTTCTTTTTTATCTTCAATAAGATTTTCCAATTTCTCTTGCAATTCTTCATTAATTTTTTGAAGAAACAATTCAACTTTGTTTGGCTCCATAGTTAATTTTTCCATCTTTGATAATTAAAAATATCGCCTCTCAAATTCCTTCAAAAGCTTTGTAGCTTACAAATTCTTGTTAGGCTACTCAATCCATTCCAAAAATAATTTCTTGGCAATCCAATTAGTGTCTTCTAAAAAATATTTGTTCTTTACTGCATGTAAAAATGTCTCCCGTGAATCTCCAAAATGTTCCATAATCAATTTAACATGTTTTTTTTTTATCTCCAATATTACAGTAACTTCAAATAACTCAATCATCTTATTTTTAGAAATATGATTTAATTCCATTTTCTATACATAATATCTCAAATACTTTGAAATATTCCTCCCATAAAATTGGTCAAATTATTAACCACTACTTGCAATGCTTTGGTTGTCAAAGCCTCTTTGTGATCATTGCCTTGTTGCTATTGCATAAATATTATAAATGCTTAAAATATATTTATAGTATTTGGATCAAAGTAAAAATCTTGTCCACCAGTAGAAAATCTACTTGAAGCTCTACTTGAAGCTCCATCCAAAGCTCCATCAAAAATTCCAAATTCAAAATTCTTACCTTCTTGCACCATCAATTTCAAATAATCACAAATATAATCCAATACCTTCCACCCCAAAATTTTACATTGGGTTCACTACTTATGTCATAATACGTGTTGTCTTCTTTGAGAATATATTAGGCACTTTATTGATGAAGGTGAAGTTGTGTTTTATAAATATTTAAAAAATCCTAATAAGTTTCATTCATATAAGAAAAATGTAATTCAAATTTTATTTCAAAAGTGCTTAAAGCCAATACAAAGTATTCAAAAATACTCTTTTTAGTAACCTCAACCATATATAAACTCCAATCGTCTTATTACTTTCATAATTAGATAATTTTGATTTTTCTTTGAAAGCCCTAATTCTAGTCAATGAGCTTTGGCAAACTAGAACTCTTAATCTGGTTGTCCACTTGGTGCCAAATTTTGCACACAAATGCTACTATAAGCCTTTTATATATTCAAAATAATTCAATCCAATTCAACTTATAAATTGTGAGAAAAAGTCCAAAAACCACTCACAAGTATCAATCTAATCTATCTTAAGGAATTTTAGCCCAATCCTACCTTTAACTTAACTTCAGTATCAACCATGTAAATTATTTACCTCTTTCAACTTAGTCTTATTAATTTATGGCTTTTCTAAGGCAATAAAAGAATTTCTACAACCTAGAAGGTAAAATTACTAACCAAACTTTAATCTACTAGTTGTTATGATAAGTAAATAAACTAAGAGGCTTTTATAAAAACAGTATTTAAATATCTTCAATTATTATTGAACCAAGATGATTAGATATTAATTAGAAATTTATTTTTGATTATATTTTCAGCATATAATTGTGTTACAATACAACATATTTTTAGTCTTTAGTCTTATAATAATATTTTTTAGTCTTCTTGTTTTTAGCAATAGCTATTATAGTTTAATATTATATCATCTTTGATTGATTTTCTAGTCTTTTTGAGTGACACAAGAATGTATTGATTTTTTTAATTCTTTGAGGTTCATGTCTTTAACATCTATCTTATTTTACATTTTTTATTATCATACAAGTAAATAAAAGCCATTTTAAATAAAAAATATTATATTTATTATTTTTTATTTCTTTCTATATTATATCAATAAATCCTAAAGAAATAAATTCTTTTTATTTCTTTATTTAAATCATCAATTAAGTTGTTCAATAATATAGATCATCTTTTATTTTTTTATCCAAAAATTGTATTATAAAATAATAGTATAAATTTGAAATAGGTCACTAGTTAATAATTTATCAAAAAAAGACTTTATAGGATGTAGGTAGTCTTGAAGCTTATATAAGTTGTGAATCATCAATATTTAGATTTTTTCTAAAACGCCCATAGACAAATATATATATATATATATATATATATATATGTGATCCAAAAGCTCCACCATATTCATATACTAGATTTGTCCAAATACTATTAATTTTATTCTATACAATCTTGGTGTACAAAGCCAACTTCATTGTAGAAAAAAATATAATATAATATACTACAATAAAATACGACCTTAATAAGAACACTTATACTAAAGTGTATCATATCCAAGTAGGATTAAAATCATATAATAATCAAAGCTACAATTGAAGGCTTTATACAAGGCAATAATATCAAATCTTACTTTGCACACATAGAGGTATTACTATTCTACAAGCTCTAATAATCTATCCAATAATGTCATTTGAATATTTATTTAAATTAAAAAATTTAGATATAAATATATATATATATAATTCCTAATTTTTTTCTAATTTATAAAAATATTCAAATAAGAATATTAATAATACTACAAAATATCATTCAAATCTATTAAAAATCAAAATTTTAATGACAATATTAATAATTACACTAGATTGAGACTCATAAAATCCTAGACAAATGGCTTTACATATGTAATAATAAAAATCCATACTATGAGGTTTGTTGTATTATCTACACATAAAAAATAAAGCAAAACAAAATCAAAATAAAAATGAATAAATCAAATAAAACCCCCTTCACATGCTACAGATTTTTATTTTTATTAACTTATGTTGAAATATTTTTCGTTTTTTCTCTTTAAATAATGCACAAGTTAGGTTTAAGGGCTTTTATAAATCTTCTTTACCATTATCTTGTAAAGTATTTTATTGGTTTTTTTCTACTAGCTGTATAAGCTTGTTGACAAGTAGATTTAGTAACTCAACAAATAAGCATAACATACATTTTTTTGCCATTAATAGAAAAAGAAAAGAAAATAAGATTTAGACTTGCTTATAATAAATTTGATTTATCTATCCAAAAAATAGCTAACCTTTATTGAGGAATACGAATTGTTATTTGAAATTAGAGCAGAAATTATGTCTGCACACATATCTGAATGTTTGTTGTAAATATATATTCAGATAGACTTTCAAAATACACGAGCACATCGTGTGCAACCCGAATCATTCACAGTCAACATGATTTCATGCTTCGAATCTGACACGAGCATCATGCTTGCTACCTCCGGCCTCCCGATTTACAACACTCTGTCAGCTCTGTTGTCGTTTTCCGAGCTGCCGTGGGATGTCACTGCAGCACTGTAGTCTAAACAATGGCTCGTCTTTTCTGGTACTCTGTACCCACACCCAACTCACAGCTGCAGGATATCATCACACCGCCTCATTTTCATCTCTCAGGTGGAGGCCGCCCACCAATCGGTACCGATTCCATCCACGACGGGGCCGGATCCCGAGCATCGACAAGCTCGGCAAGTCCAGAGTCGCTTTGATTGCTCTCAACACAACCTGTGTGCTCTGTTGCTTCTACACTACCTGTTCTTCTCGTGCGGCGATTTCTTGCTGTGTCTCGTGCGATTGGTGCCACCACGACAGTCGCTTGAGGACGTTTCGTTGTTCAGAGGAGGCTGTTGTGAAGAGCGGTTCGGATCAGAGTGGAGGAGTACTTTGTGTTAAGCTGTGAGTGGGTGTGGTGGGTTGAGCGGACTGCAGCGTGAGTGCAAGTGTTGGAGGATTCCAGCGCCAAGGCCCTGACGGGATCTGAAGCGATACGGAGATAACAGCCATACCTGGACGGTGCGTATGAAGAACAGCTATGCCGGAGTGCCTGTGTCGGTGAGGGTTCGCTGTGAGGGTCGATGTGCAGGTTCACACCATCAGTTGGTGGGCTGTGGAGAAGTCGGTCTTCTTGGGTGTGCAGGGATTTTGTTGTTGCGATTGCTGCTCAGTCACGATTGCATGCGATGGAGGGCGTCTGAGATTTGCGTGTGAGGTTTGGTGTGCTCGTGGTGGTCGTGTGGGGCAGAGTGGACGATGGTGTTCATGTTGTGGGTTCCGATGAAGATTGCCTTTCCTGTGGCGGATTTCTGATCTCTATGGTTCTGCACGTGATTAGAGTTGAGTGGGATGCTGTTGAAGGAAAGCAGTTTGGTGATGGCTTTGTGGTAGTTTAGTAAGCATGAGCACGAGATTGCATTGGATCTCAGTTGGAATGCGGTCTGCAACGAAGTTGTATGTTTGTGGTTGATCCCACAAGAGGTGTTGTTGTTGATGTTTTTTTTTTTTTTTTTTTTTTTTTTTTTGATGGTTTGAGAAATGGATCTAGATATTGGTATTCAATCAATGTTAAAATTGATGGTTGTTGTGGAGGCTTGTGATTTTAGGAATTGAAAGAGAATATATATGTAGGATACATCTTAGTTGAAGTTTGTGAGAAGTAGTTTTTGAAGGTTGGTTAATTTGTGGGCTAGAAAAGGTTTTGAAAATGAGGCAATTGGAAACAATTTTTGGAAGGTTGAGCTTCATGATGAAAAAAGTGAATGGTTTGATGGGAAAATGTGAGATGTGTTGTAGTATTGATTTGCATTTGCATTGAGAGTGATATAATTTGCATTGTGTGCAATTGTTTTTATTGTGAAGATATTGAATCCTAAGAGGCAAAAAGAAGTTGCAACACATCTATCTACAAATCTTGGTATGTGATCATTTAATGAGTAACTTTAATGACCATTTAGTATGGTGATTGATGAAGTAAGCAATACTTGTGGTGTGAACTTATAACAATAAAAAAATATGCATGTGAGATTGTGTTTTTAGATACAAGCAGATTGTGGTGGCATTAGAAGTTAGGATATAGATACATGTTATTTCATCTTTGCATGAATAATGTTGTTTTTATAAGATGTAAATAATTTGTATGTAGTTTAACAAATTAGAATTTTTATGGTTTTATATACTTGTATAATGTTATTATTTGACAAGGTCTAGAAGTTGTATAGAATAGAAGAAGAGTTTGCAATGAAAGAATATAGAATAAAAAATTTGAAGAGTAGAAGAGAACAAGACAAAACAGACCATTTGTAGTATGAAGTATTAAGTTTTTTGATTTATTTGAAGAAAAGTCTAAAATATGGCATTTAATGTGGTAATTTGGATGTTTGTACAATTATAAACATGTGTATGAAGGAAAAAAAATTATTGTGATAAAGTTATGATGAGTGTTTTAGGACATTTATAAGATTCAAACTTTGATTTGTACAACTACAAAACCTACTTTTTAAGGACTTGAAGTATCAAGAGTTGTGATTGTTTATATATTAGAATGGTAGATTGTGAAACATTAATAACTAGATATAATACATGACATGTTTATGGATCATATGGAAGGTTGATAAAAATATGCTTAGATATTAAATGTGTTGGTCTTGATTATCTTGTTTGCTTGATTTAGGAACCTTTATTGCACAATTGAAGGATTGGATTTGAATATCTTCAAATAACCTATCATAGCAAATTCTTGGAATGGTTTCTTGCAAGGGCTTACATCATCATTAAAAATAGGATATGGCAAAGAGGAACATATTTTTCCAAAAGTCAAATCTTGATTGAAGAAATTGGGGTTTTAATGAAGAAAAAAGATATATTGAATAAAATCAATGTACAAATTTGTGGATTAATCTTGTTCAAGTTATGAATTTTTTTCATAAGTTGATGATTTGTAATGATAATATTGGAAAGTACTGCCTCATTTTTGATGAACTATTCATTGTGGTATTCAAAATCTACTTGTTGGTAGAAAATTGTAGAGATGAAAAGTGGTGTGAAGCAACAATCTTCCAAATGAAGAACAAAGAAACATTTAGAGAATTGCTTTTGGACTTGAAGCATTGTTTTAATGCATCCAAGAAAATTACAGCAATAGAGCATGTAAAAGAATTAGAAGGCATTGCATCCATTACATTTAATGTTACATCATTTGATGAAGTTAAAGAGGATGATGAAAGCTTTTATGAAAGATTGATTAGTGAAATTCAAGATGCATGCCTTGAAGATTTAGGATTGGTAGAATATCTATTGCAAAGGTATAAAGACTTGTATCACATTGAAGGTGGAGAATTGGATACTTTGGATCTTTCAAACAACACCAAAGGCTTACAAATTGGTCATTGCAAGATTGGGGAAGGTGAATTTGGTGTTGTTTATAAATCTATGCAGTTTGGAATCTTGAGTGCCACAAAGAAAATAAAAATTGAAAGTATTGAAAAATAACTTAGCATTGAAGTAAGAATCTTAGCTGGTTTGAGCCATCTAAACATTGTTAAATATTTATATGCAAAAAAAGAGGAGAAAGTTAAGTTTGATGAGACTTGTGCTACAAAAGATGAAAATGAAACCTTGGATATAGTTATGGAATTGATGGATATGAGTTTGTAAGAAAAGTTGAAGAAAAAAAGATTTACAAATATATTTTGCTTATTGATATCATCTATCAAATTGCAAAAGGAATGTGTTATTTATACGACATACAAGTTGCTCATCGTGGTCTTAAACCTAAAAATGTGCTTATCAATTTCAAGTAAAAAAAATATCAAAAACAATGCTTTTGAATGTGTGCTTGTCAAAATAAGTGATTTTGGTACTTCTAAGATGAATGTTGGAAGGACTTCAAAAGCTAAAAGTAGTAAATTTCTCTATGGCATGCCAAGGTATGTGGCTCCAGAGATATTAAATAATGAAGATGAATCAACAAAAATATGTCGTTTTGAAGCAGATGTTTTTCATTTGCAATGACATGTTCTCAGATTCTTTCAAAAAAAGAGTCATTTTGTGGCATTCATAACAAGAAAGAAATATTAAAAAAAATTAAACAAAGAGAGATGCCAAATTTGCCTTCAAATTGTCATGAGTTGACTGAGTTGATTGAAGAATGTTGGCATTTGAATCCTTAACAATGTCCAAAATTTGGAGATATTTGTAAAAGACTTGCGCAATTAAAGACAAAGTTTCTAGTTAGATCTTACAAAGCTAAATGCCTTGTGTTTTGTGCTCCTAAGAATAAGATGCACCAAATCAAAAAAAAAAAAAAAAAAAACACATCTTGATAATCAAGATGTAAAGTTTGTACTTATTGTTGTTTTATTTCTTTGATTGATTGTTTTAGAGAGGCAATTGATTTGAGTGGTTTGATGATATAGTAAAGTTGAACATGTATAAATGTAAAAGTATTTCTTTAGAACATGTGCATTGTATAAACATTTAGGTTTTGTGATTGTGGTTGTTTGTGTAGGTATATTTTAAAAAAGAAATAAAACTAGGTAGAGAAGAATACTTACAAGAAATGTTAAAGATATGCAATAAAGGTGAAAAGGCATTATATCTTGTTGGTATGGATGGAATAGGTAAGACAACATTAGCAAGGTCCATGTTCAATGCCATAAAAAATACATATGATGCTTCATGCTTTGTTGAAATTATTCAAAAAAGTGATCAAAGCTTGAAAAACTCTCTCAATATTTTGGAACAATTTAAAGTTGAAGGAAACCCAAAGACTTTGGATAATGCAAAAATGTTGCTAAAATCATTTTTGAGCAAAAATAAAGCTATTATGGTCTTAAACAATGTTAAGGATCAAAATCAAATTGAAGAAGTTATACCTATGGATGTTTTATGTAGAAGCAAAGGAAGCATATTAATTGTAACTACACAAAATTGGAATCCTAAGAAACAATATTCTATAGAGTTTCATAAAATAAACCTAAAAGTACTTGAAGAGTGTACAAGTTTGAAATTTTTTTGACATATTCTCATGGAAATCAAGTTGGATTATCCATAGAACTTGAGAATATAAGTAAAAAGATTGTGAAAGCTTGCAATGGCTTACCATTAAGTGTAAAAGTTGTGGAATCATTCTTAAGAGGACAAAAGAGGCTAAGATGTTGGGAGCAAGCTTTACAAAGATTAAAAACGGCAAGATATTTGGATGGAGATGAAGAAAATAGTGATCTTCAGATTTGGAAAATTTTAGAAGTAAGCTTTAGCAACTTAAATCCTCAAGAAAAGGATATGTTTTTCGACATATGTTTTTTTTTTTTTTGCTAATGACGTATTTCCACATGACATGTTGAAAGAAAGAGCATTGCAAATATAGACAAAAACTAATGGATTAGATAAGGAAGAAAATGTAGAACTTATTTTAAAGGCATTAATTTATTCTTCACTAATAATTATTGATGGAGATAGAATCATCAAAGTACATGACCAATTAAGAGACATGGATCGAAGGATAGTTGAAAAAGATCCTATATATGAAGGCACAAGAATATAGAACATGAATATAGTGCCAGTTAATGGACTATCAACAAAGATAAGTAAGTTGACATTTTTGTAAGTAAAAGTTGCAAAATCAACTATCATTAAAATTTATTAGCATGTAGTGATTGTGCATACAATTTTGAATTATAGTAGCATTAGATGGTGTATTAATGTGTAAGTTGCTATGAATTATTTGAAGTTGATTATTAGTTAAAGATCATCAACTGAAAAAGATATAAAAGCTTAAGAATACTACTTGAAGCATTAAGAAACTTCATTTCTTTACAATAGTTAGATATAAGTGGATGTTCAAACTTGACATCATTGCCAAAAGAGTTGGGCAACCTTATATCTTTGACAAAATTAGATATAAGGAGGTACTCAAACTTGATATCATTGCCAAAGGAATTGGATAACCTTATATCTTTGAAAATATTAGATACAAGTGAATGCTCAAACTTGACATCATTGCCAAAGAAGCTAGCCAATGTTACATCTATGACAAAGTTAGATATAAATCACTGCTCAAAGTTAACATTATTACCAAAGCAATTAGATAATCTTACATCTTTAATAGAATTAAGTATAAATGGATGCTCAAACTTAACATCATTGCCAAAGAAATTGGACAACCTCATATATTTGACAAAATTAGATATAAGTGAATGCTCAAACTTGACATCATTGCCAAAGGAGTTGGATAATCTTATAACTTTGATAAAATTAAATATAACTGGATGCTCAAATTTGACATCATTACTAAAGGAGTTGGAAATCTTACAACTTTGATAAAATTAGAAATATGTTGGTATTCAAACTTGACATCATTGCCAAAAGAATTGGACAACCTTACATCTTTGATAAAGTTAGATATAAATCGATGCTCAATCTTGACATCATTACCAAAGGAGTTGGGCAATCTTACATCTTTGACAAAGTTAGATATAATTTGGTGCTTAAACTTAACATCATTGTCAAATGACTTAGGCAACCTTCTATCATTAACATGGTTAAATATATGTGGATGCTCAAATTTGATATTATTGCAAAAGGAGTTTGGCAATCTTACACCTTTGACAAAATTAGATATAAGGAGCTGCTCAAAGTTGACATCATTGCCAAAAGAGTTAGGCAACCTTACATCTTTAACAAAGTTAGATATAAGGAGATGCTCAAAGTTGACATCATTACCAAAAGAGTTAGGCAACCTTACATCTTTGACAAAGTTAGATATAACTGGATGCTCAAATTTGACATCATTTTCAAAGGAGTTGGACAACCTTATATCTTTGATAGAATTAGATATAACTAAATGCTCAAAATTGATATCATTACCAAAGGAGTTGGGCAGCCTTACATCTTTGATAAAGTTAGATATAACTGGATGCTCAAATTTGACATCATTTTCAAAGGAGTTAGACAATCTTATATCTTTGATTGAATTAGAAATAAGTAATTTCTTAAATTTAATATCATTACCAAAGGAGTTGGTTAACCTTACAACCTTAACAAAGTTAGAGATATGTTGGTGTCTAAATCTAATATCATTGTCAAAAGAATTGGGCAATCTTACATCTTTGACAGAGTTAGATATAAGTCGGTGCTCAAATTTGTTATTAGTACCAAAGGAGTTGAGCAACCTTACATCTTTGACAAAGTTAGATATAAGTTGATGCTCAAAGTTGACATCATTGCCAAAGGAGTTGGGCAACCTTACATCTTTGACAAGATTAGATATAAGTCACTACTCAAAGTTAACATCATTACCAAAGGAGTTGGACAACCTTATATCTTTGATAGAGTTAGATATAAGTGGATGCTCAAACTTGACATTATTACCAAAGGAATTTGAGAACCTTATATCTTTGAAATAGTTTAATATATATGGATGAAAGAACTTGACATCATTCCTAAATGAAGTGAGCAACATTACATCTTTGACATAATTTGATATATGTAGATATTTAAATTTGACGTAATTTTTTAAGCCTTTGATGACGACCTAAGAGTATAGAATGTAATATGAAACGATACATGAAGTATGAAAAAGCTTAAGATAGAAGGAAAATATTGTGAATTAGGTGGTTTTTTATAGATTTTTTCTTCTTCTTACTCGTGTTGTTAAGTAAGGTAATTATATTTTATTATTATTATTATTATTAGAAGATTTTGAAAAATTAAAAATACTTATATTATATGTGTCTATAAAAGCATATTTATATAATAATTTTTTATAATTTTTTTTTTTCTATAATTAGAGAAAAAAATATTTGAATGAAGTTAAAAGAAATAAGAGTTTTAAAATTGAAGAATTATAAGTTTATACAAAATTTTATAAATTTATTTTAAAAAATTAATACATTATTAGAACTTATTTAAAAAGTTTGTTTAAACTTAGAAATATTACTATAAAATATAGATAATTTAATATCATTAAGAATCTTCAATTTAAAGGAATTTTGTAGCTTATTAAAACTACCAAAAGAAATAAAAAATTTAATTTCTTTATAATAGTTAAGTATACAAGTATGCTCAAAGTTGACATCATTGTCAAAGAAGTTGGGCAATTTTACATCTTTGATAAAGTTAGATTTAAGTCAATTCATATATTTGAGATCATTGTCAAAGGAATTATATTATCTTATGTCTTTGACAAAGTTGAATATAAGTAGATGTTCAAAATTGAAATTATTGCTAAAAGAATTGAGTTATCTTATATCTTTGACATAGTCAACTATAAGATGGTGCTCAAAGTTGATATCATTACCAAAAGAATTAAGAAATCTTACATCTTTGATAGAATAAGATATAAGTTGATACTCAAACTTGACATCAATGCCAAAGGAGTTGAGCAACCTTCTATCTTTCATAAAAGTAGATATAAGTTAGTTCTCAAATTTGATATTATTACCAAAGGAATTGGACAACCTTACAACTTTGATGAAATTAGATATAAGTATTACTTAAATTTGATATCATTTCTAAAAGAATTGGGTAAATTTACATCTTTAAGAGAGTTAGATTTAAGTTAATACACATACTTGAAATCATTGCCAAAAGAGTTAAGATGATTAAATTATTGATATGGTTAGATATTAGTTGGTGCTCTAATTTGACATCATTGCTAAATGAGTTGGGTAACCTTACATCTTTAATTTAATTAAATATAAGTAAATACTTAAACTTATATATATTTAAAATAAAATAAAAAAATATTATATTTTGATATGATTTGTACGTGCATGCAATATAAGATTTTCTATCAATTTGATGCAACATTGATAGTTGATTATTATTAAAGTAGCATCATTAATACTAATATATAAATCATGAATTAATTCTCAAAGCCATGAGATGTCTCTTGTAGCTTTTGATGATATTTAATATTTAACTTTAGTAGTAGATAGTCCTATTGTACTTTATAGTTTTGAGCTCAAATCAAATAGCAAATTTTTATTCATGTACAGAAGCTTAGATGTTGATGTACACAAGTCTTTATCTTGTCCTCAATTTATATCAATGTAAGAAACTAGTTTTCTTTATTTTCCTATTGAAAAAAGTATTTTGAGTTCTATTATATCCTTTAGATAGAGTAGAATAAGTATTCATACTTTGCAATGGAACATTTGGAGAATTATACAATACATGCTTATATAACTTATAAAAAAACTAATGTCTAGTCTTTTTATATTTGAAAGGTACTAAAAACTTCTAATAAATATGCAATACTCTACATTGTCTACTAATTCTTCATGCATATTAATTTGTAATCTTATATCTTTATTCATGATGATTGAACTTGAATTATAATTTAACATACCAAATCTATGAAGCACAATATTAATATAATTTTTTTTATAGAAGATTATGCTCTTTTTAGTGTGCATAAATTCTATTCTAAGATATACTTATACTAGCTTCATATTTGTTATCTTTAATTCAAATAAAAATTTATTTTTAATTTTTAAGATATTTTGTGATCATCTCTTGTTATAATTAAATCATCAACATAAAGTATGATGAGTATATAATTTCCATTATTTTATCAAATATAGAGATTAGAATTTGCTAACAACTTATGAATTCTTATCTTTTGAAAATGTTCATTAAGTCTCATATTTCAGTTTTGAGGAGATTATTTAAGATCATATAGTGTCCACTTTAGCTTACATATCCTATTTTTGCTTCTATACCTTTTGAATCTAGGTGAAATAACCATAAAAACTTCTTCTAATATTCTATTTAAGAATATTTTTTTTACATCAAATTATTTTATTTTCTATTGTCAAGTAGCTACTATTTCCATTAATATTCTTCTTGTATTTGAAAAAATGATAAGAGAAAAATTTTCAAAAAAATATTTTCTTTCTCATTGCTTAAATCTTCATGCCACTATTCAATCCTTGTATTTTTTAGTGTTTCCTCTTAAAGATCCATTTTACAATAATGGGCCTTTTTTCACCTGGTAAGTCACAAATCTTCTATGTGTAATTTTTCTTAATGCTTTGAACTTCTTAAAAAATAACTTCTCTCCATTTTTTATCCTTTATTGCTTCAAAGTAGTGAATAGAGTCATTTCAATGTAAACACTAAATAGCCAATTATCAAAAAGTCTTGTTGATGGTTTTTTATACTTATTTATTATTCTTTATATATAGGAATGACCTACTTGGATTGGTGAATGAAGAGATGCAAGTAATGATGTTCCTATAGATTACATAATGAGTGTATTTGGAAAATATTTAGCAAAAGATAGTTGTTTCAATGATTGATTTGGAATCTAAAGTTGAAAAAGTATATCTTTGGTTTCAATATGTTGGTTTTCATTTCATTCATGTTCATCTTCATTGTATTAGTCAACTTAGAATCTTATATTTTTAGAAAAAATTTTCAAATTTTTTAAACAAGACTTTATGATCTCTATCAATTTTTAGCACAAGTAATTTTTTACTTATTTCTTTTTCTATTTGTATTTTGAATGTGCAAAAATTGGAGAATGTTTCTTTTTTTTATTTTAAAAAATAAACCTAACTTTGGTAAGAGTAGTTATCAGTGAATATTGCAAGATACTTAGTTCTGCTTACACATGGCTTTGAGATTAGTTCTACCAATTTTGCATGCACAAGTTCAAGTACCTTCTTTGACATTATAATACTTTATCATAGAAATGTCCTCTTTTATTAATAACTAACATTATATACTTCACAAACTTCTTTAGGTATTGATCCAATTAGAAGTAAACCTTTTGTTTTTTGATTCATATATAATTGCCTCAAATTAGAGTAATTAAGGTGTCCAAATCAATTATGCCATATTCTAGTCTTTTTTATTATAGATGAATTAAATTTTAGCATATAACTGGTTTATTCAATAAAAACAATTATCAAATTTTAACAACCTAGTGGTGATCACACTATGTTCTTTTTTATTAATCAATTATCCAACACTTATTTGCTAAGAAGATTATTAAGTTTCCTTAATTCATAAGAGAGCCGACTAATAACAAATTCTTTTTTTAAAAAGATATAAATAAAATATTGCTTACCTTCTTTAATCTTTTATTGTCAATTTTTATGTTAATCTTTTTTTTTAGATATGATATGTGGTTTACCACTTACTATCCTAATTTTGTGAAATTGATTTGTAAGTTTGAGAGAACTTAGTCTTGATTTCTTTCTTATCATGTATTAAGAGGCTCTATTGTTAAGATATCAATTGCAGTTATTTTTTCTTTCTTTAATGGTCTTGGTAAGATTAACTTCTATTTCTTGAAACACATCTTTTTATTTAAGATTGGAGGAATTATTATCTAATTTTATGATTCTTGTTGTTGGCTTCTTAATATTTGGAAGTAACTTCTTCAATTTGTAGTCTTTTGCCATATGATTTATTTTATTACAAACATAGTAATAGATTAATTGTATATCTCTATCAACATGAAGAGCTTTGGTCATACCTAGGTCCTTCAAGAAAGAAAGTCTATCTCTATGATGAGTAATTCAATCTACCTCTTGTATTTTTAGAATTATAATATATTTTAGATGCTTGTATTGATAATGATTTACTTTTGAGATTGCTATTAGTATTAATTCTTAGTTGTAATCAATGTGCCTTAATTATCAATTTAGATGATATTTTTTCAAAGTTGAAAAATTTTACTAGTAGTTATTAGACTTTGTATTAGATTATCAAAGGAAAGAGATAACTTATTGAGAATTGTTTGTACAAGGATTTTGGTAGGAATAATCTCACCTTAAGGTGGATATTTTGTATAAAGATAAAATAAATCACAAATATAATTATAAGTAAGTATACTAAATCTAAATATGCTTCAATAACACTCTTAATTATTAGATGCACTATCATAAAAAATAAAAAATTCAAATATTTAGATGTTAATTCAATATATTATTTATTCTTTTGAATTCCATCGATATTCTTACATCTTAATATAGATTGCATCAATAAGTGAGTTTTTTTTTATCTTAGGGAATAAATACTTAAGGATAATGGGCTTTTATATTTTTTTTGACTTTAACTTAATTTACATAATATGTAGGATCTATTAAAAAAAAGTTTTAAAAGGTTTGAAGAATTGTAGCATTTTTTGTTTCTTCTTAAAAAAATTTTAGTATAGTCACAAATTCCATCAAAAAAATTAATGGAAATTTTTCTTTCTATTTTTTGTTCTTAATAAAAATCATATACTTATATTAAAAAAATAAAATAAAATATTTAAATAGTAACTGTCAAGGACAAGAACTCCATGAAAAAATAATCCAAACAAGAGAGCCTTCACTCAAAGAAAGGTAACAAAATATAAATAAATAAGTATGTATAGTGAAAGAGAAATTAGAATGGCTATTGACAAAAGACAAGAAAACTAGAGACCTTTGAAACTAGACTAGAAGCAAGAAAGGAGTTGACAAGAGTGAAGAAGGCTTCACTCTTCTCTCTATATATACTATCTAACTAGGGGTTACGTGGCGATGTTCTATAGGACCTCCAATATGTGTTGACTTTGTAGGACACATGCCTTGACTTACAAAGCAAGTTTTTCTACGTGTGGGCCAC